CCCAAATAAGTAGCCAAAAGTACTAAGAAAAGTAAAACCTTGGACATCTTAACCAGTCTGTGTTTTACCCTACATCTAAAACTGAAATGACTGTCTTTTGGTATGTTTCTGAGGTGTGATTTAGAAAAATGAGGAAAATGACACATGCCCTTGGAAATATCTTTGTACCAAAGCTGTATCATCGGTTACCTGATGGACTCAGTAGTGTCTTTGTATTAAAGAAGTATAAAATTTTCTGCAGGTTAGATGTGAATAGTGCTGAAATCTTCACACTAACGACTAGTTGTTATGTAACTTATACTGCTGTGTTTGTTTCCAGTTGGGCAGTTTCTCAAGACAGATAAGAAAGTGCCCTGAATCACAGAATGGTTTGGGTTGGAAGGGACCTGAAAGACCCTCTAGTTCCAACCCCCCTGCCATGGACAGGGACACGTTCCAGCAGGTCAGGCTGCTGAAGCCTTTGATAAAGCACTGCTGCTCTTTCTTTGGTGTTCCTGTTAGAGAGGTGCACAGGCTGACCCAAGTTCAGACACGTTTTTTATGATGAGTAGAGTGATAACACAGGAGGAAGTCATTTCTGTTTGCAAAATAAACAGTGTTTGAAATGGGGATACTGTGGCAACAGAAGCAAAACCGTGTTCACTATGAATTACTGGTCTTAGCTACTTCTGTTAGTTTGAAATTCTTTGTAAACCTGTGATAACCTGGATGCTTTTGTGGTTATGGAGGGAAACTATTTTTAAAGTATTCTGGGATTCCTTGCTTTAATGGCATCTCCGGTTGGTTGTGAAACAGTTATATCATCATCATCATAAGAAAATGTATTCAGCTGTTACATAGACATGATTGGCTCAACTTGTTCTGACTATTCACAGTTGTATTTTAAAGCTGCCTTGCAAATGACTGCTTAGGATAGCATAGAGTAACTGAAAGTATAGGAGAACATACAGTGAGAAACAGGGATATTACCACTGGACTTTATCCCGCAGTATGAAGAAACCAAACACACCTGTTTGTACAGGCAGCCATAATACCTACTTCCATCACCCGAGAAACAATTACTTTCTGGAAGTGAATACACCAGAGCACTACCTGATCTGTCAGTATGTATTTAGTGGATACAGTTTGTAGAGTTTAATCACCTTTGGATGTATTGTAAAAGAGCGGCTTTATCCAGCAACAGTGAAGCTGAGATTGAATGTTCTTAGTTTTTAATGTTTAATTTCATTTTAGATGTTTTAGTTTGATTTTAAGGTTTAAAACACAGTTGCTTTCCCATCAAAAAAACGAGGTGTTCCTGCTCTTCACAGTACATAAAAGGAGGGTACACATCGACTCATGACTACAACATGACTATTTTTTTTTGTGAACAGCTACATCAGAGCCTATTCACATTGCTCTGTGACGAAGGCTTGCTACCAGGAGATGCGGCTAGCCTTCTCTGACCCTTCAGATAGGTGGGCTGTCTCATGAGTACATCCTACCAGGGTGAGGCCATAGTAAAGAAAAGCTGCCAAGTAACATATCAAGGTGTGGTGTTTAGCAAAATTTTTGCAAGCCGTAGGGTTAGATGTTATAATTCCTTTTAGTTCATTTTTAGTTTGCTACTGCACCACCTATACTTTAAATCAGCCCTCAGCATTTACTAAGAGGCAGTTGAAGATGAACATGCTGTCATTTCTAGGTGTGCTTGATGTAAGAAAAAAAAAACCCTAAAAATTAAGTATTAAACTCACATAGTAAGCTTTATCTCCTTTTTTATTCGACCTATCAATCTTCTGCTTTTGCGGTCTTACAGCTAAGGTTATTAAAATACCTCATAAGTTACATTTGCTTCCTGGTCTTTCAAAACCCATTTTTTTTTTCCTAGTTCATAGAAGGGGACTGAAATACCTCAAGATTGCTAGATTCAAAGGCGGTATTAGAGCCCTTCTTCCTTTCCTTTTTTTTTTCCTGGTATTTCTTTGCCCTGAACTGAGAGGAAAATGATACTGCTACCTCCTTTTTCTGTGGAGTACATTTCTGTTATGTCCAAAGCTCTGTTTTGCAGATTAGTTTTTTTGTCAATAGACCACAGATACTTTTCTTGTTCAACTTCAAAGACATTTCATCACCATGAAACTCCTTAGCCTGATTAAAAGTTGTTATCCCTAGTGCTTTGCACATGTTATTTAGTCCAGCCAGAGTGAAACGCACTTGTGAAATGACCCCAGGAAAGTACAGCGGCAAACCACAAAATAGATTCTGTCAAGAGCTGGTGGAAGGTGAATAATTTCATGTCTTACTAAGGTAGAGATGTATTTACATCAAGTGTTCTGTACAGTAGAAACTGTCCTTTTCAGGTAAGAGCAAGGACATGCTTAGACACAAGTAATTTGAAGGTTTTCCATTACTGCAGGAAATGAGGATGATCTTTCTGTTCAAAGTATTATCAAGAAAACCTTACAAACTTTATTCCAGAGGGGTAACCAGGAAATCTTAAATTTGTGTCAAGCTTGCTTCTTGCATCACAGAAGAGCTTGGGATCCTGTAAACTACTATGTTACACAATGAAGCTGAAAGTAATTAATATGATTAACAGAAATTATAGGGTATGATAAAAAGCTCGGAAGACCTTCAGTAAAAGGGATTTTTTTAAGGTGATTTTACAAAGAATAAGGAAACTCATCTGCAGAGTCAATCTGACTATCCTGTCTGTAATAAAGTAGGCTCATGTGGCCTAAATGCATGGAATTGCCCTCTGTGTAGTTTCTGCTCCAAAACAGTTGCTCTGTTTTGCAATTACTCTGGAATAAATCTCCACTTACTATGCATTACTGTCCACCTGCAGACTCAGTATTTGTCATTTTTCTCCATATGCACTTATGAAATGGCTTTGACCAATGGTATTATCATAGCAAGCCTCCTACCTCCATTTCATCCTAGTGAAGCCCAACAACAGTACATGTTCTGGTACAGTAAGAACATATAACCTCTTTATTGCCACACTTTCAGAAAAAAAGCTTTTGAGTTATGGCTGCAGGAACCAGATTTATAAAGGTATCTACATACTGAAAGATAGGGCTTTTTTATGAAGTTGAGATGATTAATCTTCCCTGCAACGATGTGATGCTTGGGCAGAGAACACTGTGTTCTGGTCTTGTCTGTATCTTACAACAATTAAATGCATTTACAAATACAACACCGGGTTCCCTGTGTAGCTATGTATTACTCTTTGGCATCCTCATATTGCACAAAAGCTCAATGACATGCATCCAACCACATAAAACTTAATATCAGACAAGACTGGCAGTAGTTTGAGCAGCTGAAAGACCTTGTAAAAAAAAAAAAAGTATTAACCAATGTTAACTGTAAAGAAAAAGTACCATCTTCAGTCTAGTATCCTATTGATTTTTGTTTTTTACTATATAGTGGAACAATAAAATACATGTGAATTTTATTTTAATACCTTGGAATTGTGATATGGTAAACTATAAAGCGATCAGGTGAGTTAATTAGGACTAGGCAGCCTTCACTGGTTGTTACCTGTATGGTTTAGCACTCCAAGAAGCAGTAGTATTCTTAATGTCTTTGTATGTCCTTTGGGGTACTGGTCCTGGATGAAAAACTGAACATGAGCCAGCAGTGTGCGCTGGCAGCCCAGAAAGCCAACCGTATCCTGGGATGTATCCAGAGAAGTGTGGCCAGCAGGTCGAGGGAGGGGCTTCTGCCCCTCTGCTCTGCTCTTGTGAGACCCCACCTGGAGTGCTGCGTCCAGCTCTGGAGCCCCCAACATCAGAAGGATATCGACAGGTTGGAGCGAGTCCAGAGGAGGCCACGAAGATGCTCAGGGGGCTGGAGCACCTCTGCTATGGGGACAGGCTGAGAGAGTTGGGCTTGTTCAGCCTGGAGAAGAGAAGGCTCCGGGGAGACCTTATAGCACCTTCCAGTACCTGAAGGGGCCTACAAGGGTGCTGGGGGGGACTTTTTACAAGGGCCTGTAGTGACAGGACAAGGGGGAATGGGTTTAAATTGAAAGTGGGGAGGTTTAGATTAGATATGAGGAAGAAGTTCTTCACAGAGAGGGTGGTGAGGCACTGGAACAGGTTGTCCAGAGAAGCTGTGAATGCTCCTTCCCCGGAAGAGTTCAAGGCCAGGCTGGATGAGGCTTTGAGCAACCTGGTCTAGTTGCAGGGAGTTTGGAACCAGATGATCTTTAAGGTCCCTTCCAACCCAAACCCTTCTGTGATTCTGTGTATCCTTGGTTATCCACCACCATATTCTTATTTGTGATTTCCAGGAAGAAATAAGGTTTTTACTCTCTCTTTTTTTATTTTTTTAATTTTATCTACTCGTGATATTCCCATGCATAGAGGTACATGCTGCATTCCTGAACAATTTAGTTAGGGTAAATGAGTAAAGAAGAGCTGGTTTCGGCCACTGTGTCAAGTCTTGCAGTTTGTACTCATCTATTTATCAAGCCATTCAGAGACTGACCAAAGACTTACAATACTACAACCTAAAAATACAGTGAACTGGTAAGCATAAAACAGGGAAAGCTGCTAAGAAAAGGCTACTTTTGTGCATCCTCTCACCTCCTGCCCTTCCCCCAAGAAATAATGTCTTCCAGGCTGGTCACCCTTGTAGTCTTTGTCTTTACCTCTTGCATGTCTATCTTGCACACAACTGCGTGCCATTTTCAGAATTCCCCAATGGGATCCATACCCTGTGTTCCTATTTAACCAACTGAGCATGTAAGGTAGTGCTGGTTGAGACTGGGGTGGGCTACAATACATGACATGACATGCAAACAGAAAACTACTTTAAGGTCAGCAAAGCCAGAGTGGCTTCCCGCTCCTGGACTGTGCTAGCAAGGAAGAAAGTGGTGAAAATAGTAATTTCCTTTAAGGCAAGGGAAAGGAATTTGCTGGGAGTGTTCCATGTCACAGACATTTCTATTACGCTGATTAATGGTGATAGAGAGGTTTATCTGCATTTATGACTCTCGTTTCAGAAGGCCAATGGTTGCGTTAGGCAGCTTTACAGTAAACTTAGCTGCAAGAAGGAAGTCGCTAAAATTGTTCAGTCATAATTGGGTTTGGTTTGTTTTTGTTTTCAGTGAAGGGAGCAATCTCACCCCTGCTCATCATTACCCAGACTTCAGATTTAAGACGTACGCACCTCTTGCCTTCCGCTATTTCAGAGAACTTTTTGGTATCAAGCCTGATGATTACTTGGTAAGAGCTTGCAGTTTTCCTTTGAGTTACAAGTGATTATAATGTATACTAAAGTCACAGTGGCAGGAGAGGATGCTTTAATGGTGCCTAAATGGGCAGTAAATTTTGTGTGTGCAGTGGTTTATAACTAGTGAATATTTTAGTGTTTTGGAAAAAATTGTAATTCTGTGTCTTTGAGATGTTTACTGTAAAACCCTGTCTTGTTAATTGACTACAGTAACTTGAGTATTACTGCTCATTCAGGTCATTGTTTCTAAAGAAGTTATAGTCAGTACTTATGTCACTTCTACCAATTCTGTTCTAATAAAGTGCTCTTGTGTTATCTGCATTACTTACTTCATTAACAAAGTGTTGGTCTGTAAATGTTCCCTTTTAGCCTTGAGAAAATTGGGTGGCAGGCTAAAACGGAAGCATTTTAGAGTATCTCCTTTGTTCTTTGTATTTTCTAGTTTGATGACTTATTCCTTCTCAGTATTCAACTGTTCACATGAGAAAAGTGATGCGTTTGCTGCCATGATAAAAGCAGGCTTTACTTGGTAGAACCCCCTTGTGCCCTGCCAGAGATGGGGATCCACTATTTTACTTCTGCTTTGGAGGTGTAGTGTGAAAGCAAAGGCCTGGATTGTTTTCTAGATGGTTGCCCCCTATCCAGTTTGTCTCACGCCAGTCTACCCAACAAATGGGAGTCCCAGTACAAACTAGGAATTTTATACATCAGAATTCTGTTGTTAACTTCTTTTGAATGAGTTTTTACATCTTTTTATTCAATTCTTGATAACTGTTTCTTTAAAACCAAAAGAATTTTAAAGACACCGAATTTAAAAAAAAAAAAAGGAAAAAAAAAGAAAAATTGATTAAATGGTGCTGAAACATTGCCTAGTATTTTACTTCACTCATTTCCGTTGTGTTCAAGTGTGTTACAAGGTTTTCTTTCCTTCTTGGATGATGCACCTAAAAGCAAAACTTAGCTGGTTTTGCTTTTATTTAGGTTGAATGTGGGTGTCTGATTCTCAGTACTACATATGGGTTTTATATTACTAGCGCCAACTATATATATAGTTGTATATCTAAAGACATCATTCCTCTGAATTACAGATGTTAGTAGCAGGGAAGTGCAGTTGGGTTGGAGTTTTATGAAGGTGTCATTATGCAATGTGTTGTTTATCTATCTCCTTTTATGGACCTGGCAAAAGACGAAGTGTTCGAGATGTGCTGCCAGCTGCTAAGAAGACTGTACTTCGTTGAGTAGAGCTGTTGCCACCTGCAACTTCATTCCATCTAAGGAAGCATTTGTAGTATCGTAAATTAAAGATTATAGAAAGACTGCTTGCTATTGATAAGAGATGTGTGACATTCAGCTTTGCCTCAAAATGAGTAATCCCTGAGGGAAATTCCCAGTAAAGGCAACTTGTTGCAGATTCTTTTTCCTCTTGGTGCAGCAAAAGACACTAGTGATATGTCTTCAGGGAAAAGGGACAACTAGAAAAGTTTCAAGATTAAGTGCACCTTCTTTTCTTGAAATTGCAAAAGCAGGTTTCCTTCAACAAACAGGATTTTTTGTGAAATACAGTTAGAATTTCAGTGTGCGTAGTTGTAACTGCTGCGTGCCCCTGCTGCAAGCACGTGGGAATCCATTTCTGCTGTTTCTGCTTCTTAATGTGCATCAACTTCGCAATCAGAGCAGGTTGCAGTCCCTTGTGGTCCAGAGGCAGATGGGATCAAAGGGGTATTATGATCATAAAACAAAACTACTTTTAGTTTGGGACCCTTTTCCTAATTGGTTATGACCAAAACATCTGGTTAAGACTTTGCTACCAGTAGGATGTGTCAGCGTTCTGGCTGACCAGTCCCTCTTCTTTTGGTGGTATATGGATCTGTCATGTAGTGACTGTAATTCCCAGTTGGTATCTAAAGCACTGTAACAATATGCCAACTGATTGTCCAGCTGTTACTGAAGGGGAGATAAAAAGAGGAGAAATTACAGCAAGCGTACATGAATTTACACTGTTCATCTGCAATTACAAGGCCTATAAATTTACAGTTTCACCTTTTCCAAGGAAGTTTGAGTGGTAAGAGTCAGGCTGGGTAACAAGGGCAAATCCATTTGAACAGCTGATAGAAGTAAATTCTCACTGGAAACCTCATGGAATACTGGCATTTTGCAGGGGAACTCCTTGATCATAAAGTACTTAATTGTCAGGGGCTTGGGAATTTTCTTACTTTTTGGTTTTGATTTGGCTTTCATAAGGTCACAATTAGCTGGGCTCATTGTATAGCAGCACTTGGTGGGTAGACTTCTATTTTACAGGGATGAACTCAACTGTAAAATGACCATCATACAGTGTAGGTTAATAACTTTTGCTTATGATACTCTCTTTTATTGAACTTTAATGTTTAGGATAATTGCTTTCAAATGCTTACAAGAATGACAGTTACTCATGAAGCTTTATATATTTTGGCAATACATAATTTGGCTTGCAATACAACTGCTGATTTGCAGTGTTAGAGACCAGTATTGCTGGTTTTCTGTGGATAACTGCAACTATAGGATTAACAAGAATGGTCTCTAGTATTAATTGGAACTGAGTGAACACAAAACATTTTCGCAGCATGCAAAACTCTCTTAAAAATTACGAGCCTGGGGAAAGCCTCAGCTGGAGGCAGGGTAAGACAATACATTAAGGCAGTGGTTTGAGTCCATAGGAAGCATGCCTCTCCAGTTCAAGTGCTCACAAAAGAACATATTTATTAGATTTTTCTTCTATTGCTTTTCTTTGCTATCACCGCCCGCTGAAATCAATGGCAAGACTTCAGTTAAATTTAATGAAAGCTGTTTTCAACAAACAAAACTTTTTTTTCTCATGGAATTGCTCAACTAATCTCAGACCCAATAAAGCAGATATTTGTTACTGAAATAGTTATTTCTTTTGTTCAGGGAAGACCAGAAGACAAACTGCACTGTGAAGAATAATTCCCTCTTGCTTACACTATTCACAGTTCATGTCCTGTGTAATTTTGTTTCCTTCAAAGGTTGAAGCCTTAAAATACTGGGCTGTACAGTAAATCTCCAAATATGTAAAACCGTTGATAGGTAACAAAGGAAAGTTTAATAATATTATATTTTAAACAAGCTCCTGAGTTTAATAGAAACTACTTTTCTGTGGTTTTGAGCCTAATGTTTTCTCTCCATTTAGTTTGAATGAAGCATGAAGTGTGAATTAATGGAGATTCAATAAATATACATTAGCGTCTGTGGGAGATCTGGTACTCCTAGGAGGGAGTACTCCTTGGTGTCTTTTTCCTCGTTAATGTGATCATAATTATTGGTGTCACCCTGTGGAAGAGAAAACCTGTATAAGCATCCAAAATAATGATTCTTCAAAACCCAGTTTTTCCTACCTACTGGTATTTTTTTTTCTCTGTTTCAAATGTTTTTCAATCAGAAAAACTCCATTAGCAGCTATACCGAGATTGTTATTATAACGGTTTCAATCCCAGTTTCACAGAAGAGGGCTTGCCCATTTGTCTGTACTGAGAAACCTCTGCTCCGAGTGTGCTTATCGTGACATCTTTGTGAACCTGTTTCATAAATGGGTATGAAAAGTGAACAGTTGCAGTGTAAATGTCACCTTAAGGCTCCTGACTTAAGAGCTGGCAATGCTGACGGTGTGGGGATGGACCCTCTCCACCTCGGCCACTTGCTCCTCTCCAGGGAGAGTTCAGCTGGTGCAGTGTGATGGGAGGAGGGACAGTATGCTCAGCTGTTCTTCCACGGTTGTGTAGCATGTCCTGAGCAGAGGGGAGCTTAACCAACTGCCCCACCAAATCTCAGCCAAATTACTGTCACTCAGCTGGCTGTACAGGAGTAGATTTGCTGCAGCTGGAGCTCAAAGAATTCAGCTCCATGATTCTCCTGTGCCTGTTTGAACCTGGAGGTCTTTGTATTAAGGTTGTGTTTGAGTAACACATGCATTGGCAGTGAAAACCAGTTTTTGTCTCTTCCAGTACTCAATCTGCAGTGAGCCTTTAATTGAATTATCCAACCCAGGTGCCAGTGGGTCCTTATTTTTTGTAACTAGTGATGACGAGTTCATTATCAAAACAGTTCAACACAAAGAAGCTGAGTTTCTTCAGAAGCTCTTGCCGGGTTATTATATGGTAAGTAATTGAAGACTTTCACGTGTATTTTCATGTTTCATGTCACACTTCTGAAGGTTCAGTTTCATTTCTTGTCTTTTAATCTTTTATTGGCTTTATCTGTATTTTTCATAATAATTTTGACTTTTTTTACGTGTCTTTCAACTTTGTACTTGACACACCCATCAGAAAGAACAGATATAAATCAACAGTATGTTTCAGATAGTAATTGCTGTTCTTTTAGCATTCAGGATGAAGCTGAACGTCATCTTCTGATTTGATACCAAACTTTGCTTCTAATAAGCTAGTTAGAAAAGAAGGTTTCTAAATTTCTAATTCAACTTTTTTTTTTTCTCTCCATTTTGTGTTTGTTTACCCTCTGCATTTCACTCAGAGTGGACAAAGAAACTAGACCGGTTAGTTTCAGTTTTGTTTCTGGACTACTTCTAATTTCCACTTCTCATGTATTAAAACAATGATGAAAAAAATATTTTTGTACATAAAATTTGTTCAAAACTTAATTTTTAAATGGAGCTTTTTAAGAGCTAATGCTAAGTTGATTGCATTGTTTCATGTGTGTCCATCATCAAAAAGGGAAACCATTATCCAAAGTAAGTAGAACTTTCTTTTTTAAACAAAAGCCACTCGTACATATGAAGAGAGATTCTTCTGGGTGATATGCAGGGCTATGGAGTATTAGACCTGTGACTGACTTTATTTTCTTTCTTTACTTTCCTAAGTAAACACTTGAATCGTTGCCCTCTCACTTGTACTAAAAATAAGGACTACTGTCATTATTACACTAAACTAACATTGATTCATTGTTTAAAAATTATGCACTGACAGCATCAGGAAGAGCAGTGGTAGCGAACACTTTCTTTTGGTTATTGTTTCTAATCATCATAATGAGCTCAGCATAATTTTGACTTATTACAAGTAAATATAAGACCACTTTGCTGTGTTTCTGGGAACTTTATTCTCACTGCTGTCATACACAAAGGTTTCCAAAATGTCAAACTTTCGTAGAAAATAACAACTGCAATGAAAGTACTTTCTTCCCATAGTTGGGTGTTGGGACTTAGTAATCGTGTAAGACTTGGAAGTAGTTTTTCCCCTTTTTGCTTTTTTATGCCAAAAACTGAGATTAGTTGTATTCAGAAGGAGGATTTTCTCTCTCACCTCACTTATCCTCCCCTAATTAATTTTTTGCCTGTTGTGAAATTTAGATTATTTCACAGTTTTCTGATGGTCAGTTGTGGTTCTGTTATGACCTCACACTCCTGTGGAGACAACCTGGTCATTTGGCACTAACCCTCAGTGTGAAAAGACTCAGGTTCTGTTTTTCAGAATCCAAGTCAGGGTAGAGAACTATATTTGACACAAACCCCTTCCAGCAGTTGGAATGCAGAGGTTGTTCAGGTCAGAATAAATAAATTAATCTTTTGGATGCATTTAGGTTTGGCCTAGTCTGCTCTTTCATGGGAAGTGAGAAAGGGAAACGTGGCATAAATTCGGTTACTGCTCTGCTCTTGGCCTATGTAAGTTCCTGGCAAAAAAGGCAGTGCTTATGCTAGCTTTCTGAAATACAAACCCATGAAGAAAATCAACTGGTCAGAGAAACTGTGCTGAATAGAAAAATATGCACAGTTTTCTTGATTTTTTTTTTTAATGTCCTTTGTTATTAAAAAAAAAACTTTCTTAAGCATGGTAGTTTATTGGAAATAGACGTATTTAATAATATCTCTTTTGTTTTAGAATCTGAACCAGAACCCAAGGACACTTCTACCCAAATTTTATGGGCTGTACTGCGTTCAGTCAGGAGGCATTAACATTAGAATTGTTGTAATGAACAATGTTTTGCCACGAGCCTTGAAAATGCATTTCACGTATGACCTGAAAGGCTCCACATACAAACGGAGAGCATCAAGAAAAGAGAGGGAGAAGTCCAACCCTACATTCAAAGACTTGGATTTCTTGCAAGACATGCACGAAGGATTGTATTTTGACTCTGAAACACATAGTGCACTAATGAAAACACTACAGCGGGATTGTCGAGTGAGTAAAAATTATTGACTATTTAAACTTCTGTGTTCACATCTGTTCTGGATTTACATCAGCAAAACAGAGAGCGGGACGTGGCTCTGTATGTTGTTTAACCTCCATTTCTTTTCCATGCAATTTAATTAGGGAAAACTATGGATGTCAAAGTGCACTGATGAAGCCTGTGTTTAAGCTTCTGGGATCTGAGATAATAGGGTCATAGAGTGAAATATCCTGAGTTGGAAGGGATCCACAAGGGTCATCGAGTCTGACACCTGACTCCACACAGGGCAATCTAAAAGTTAAACCATATATCTATTGAGACTGTTGTCCAAATATTTCTAGAACACCAACAGGCTTGGGGCCATGACCAGTTCCCTGGGGAGTTTGTTCCAGTGCTTAGTCATCCTCTCACTGAAGAACTTTTTCCTAATATCCAATCTGAGCTTCACCAATGCAGCTTTAAGCCATTCCCTTTCTTCCTTTTACCAGGCACCAGAGATCAGCACCACCCTTTCTGCTCCCCTAATGAAGAACTTCTAGCCAGCAATGAGGTCACCCCTCAGTCTCCTCAAAGCTGAACAAACCTAATATCCTCATCTGCTCTCACAAGTCATGCCTCTGGTCCTTCCACCATCTTTGTTGCCCTCATTTAGACACATTCTAATACATTGCCAACTGTATCCTGGGTTGTATCCAGACAAGTGTGCCCAGCAGGTTGAAAGATGGGATTATTCTTCTCTACTCTGCTCTCGTGAGACTGACCTGGATTACTACATCCAGCTCTGGGGCCCTCAACATCAGAAGGATATCAACTGGTTGGAGTGAGTCCAGAGGATGGACTTTGAGCAACCTGGTGTAGTGGAAGGGGGCGCCCGCCCCGGCGGGGGGGACTAGATGGTCTTTAAGGTCCCTTCCAACCATTCTATGATTCTGTGATATTTATATCCTTCTTATATTGTGGAGACCAAAACTGCACACAGTACTTGAGGTAAGGCCACACCAGTGCAGAGTACAGTGGAACAGTTGCTTCTTTCAACCAGGTGGCTGTACTGCGCTTAACGTGCCCCAGGATACAGCTGGTCATTGTGGCCACTAGACCACATGGCTGACTCATTGAGCCTACCATCCAGCACAACCCCCAAGTACCTGTGTGCAGGGCTGCCCCCCTGTTTGTCTGTACATCCAGGATTACTCCGATCCATCTGTGGAAATACAGATTAATATAAGGAAACTAGCCCAGTTTCCTGTATTAAGGCAATTCCTATATTGAGGCACAACAAATAGCCCTGTGGTACCATTGCTACACATGATATATTTTATGTAGAGCTGCAAGCTCAGTGCTACTTTGGTTAGTCTGCCTCTGTCACTGAAGAACAGCTAGGAAACTGAAAGGAGGAGGCATGTCTAGTGTCAGCAGTCTTCGTTCTGGAGCAAAGTATTTTCTTCCTTAGCTGAAAGGTAGTGTTTAATGTCCATGTAACATTTTCAGGGCAGGAGAAGGATATCTGTCATTGTCCTTTGGGAGGTGAAGGGATTCAGTGCCTCTTCGGGACAGGGAAAATTGTTTTAAAATAGTTCTGTGGTGTTTTGTTTAGGTTTTTTTCTGTAGCAAAGTTAATGTATGGAAGATCACACTACCAGGAGTCAGTGTTCACAAAGGAGACAGAGGACTCTGGTAAAAAATAATAATAAAACTTTATTTGAATAAAGGGAGAGTCCATGGGACATATTCCTGTGGGGTCTCTCAACATGCAGAGGGACACAGCACCTTTTTATCCTACTTTTCCCAACCACAAGAGACCCTCCTCATTTCCGCATTGGCTGAGGTACTCTGAGTGTCCGTACTGCCTGATCCTAAAAACGTTCATTTGACACAATCAAGATATTCATGTCATTCAGATATTCCAGATATTCAGGTGATTTAACATATTCAAGGCATCATGTCATTTAGATATTCCAGGTATTCAGGTGGTTAACACATTTAACACATCCAGGGGATAATGTTGTTTAGATATTTCAGGTATTCAGGTAATTTATGTATTCAAGGGATCATGTAGTTTGGATATTCTTTCTTATCTTAAGTCTGAGTTCGCACAGGCTTCTTTTGTCCCTTGTCTTGAGCCAGGGTGTGCACAGGCTTCTTTTGTAAAGACATGAAACTGGTGTTCCTATCAGTAAGGAAATATAAAGTAGGAAAAAGAGGAGTTATCCATGTGTCTCAGAGTTTCACAAGTTTCATAGGGGTTGCAGTAAGAAGCGATTGACTTTCTGAGGGGGGTCCTAAGAGTTTCCTAATAAAACAGCAGAATGGGTAGACTGAACTCCTCACATAGAAGAGGCATCCTGACCATCAGAGTTTGTTGTTCACTGCCACCTGTGGTGCAAGATGGAAAGCGTTGTTTTTGCACATGAATAGCACTATTTGTTTAATTATCACAGAAGTCTGCAATGCCTTGTGCTTGGTTTGTGAAGCTGGGTGACCTAATGTTCAGCTGCATATTCAGTGTGAGACAGTTATCTAACACCACACATTGTTCTTTTTGTAGCCTCTTGCAGTGAGCGTTTCCTGAGTTCCTGCCATGTGTGATAATGCAGAATGCATCAGTGTGTCACATCTGGGGATCTGGATACCCTTTTGTGCTTCCTCCCACTTGTTGAAGGGTACTTACCCAGTCAAAGCCTGGGGAGATCTATTGTACAGAGAATAATAAACAGAATCTAAAAGAGGGAACTGGACTGAGAAGTAAAAACAAGAATCAGTCATTTAATTGTTACATATAAAGGGGACTTGCACTGGTTCTTTGAAAGGACGGGTAAATTCTTGCTATGTCTTGTTTGAGTGCTGAACTCAGCATCAGCTTTTGCAGTGTGGAGTCTTAGATTAACAACTCTAAAGGCAGTCTGGAGTTCTTAGAGGCCCAGCTAAATCTTAATATTATTAAAAGAAAAGAAGAAAATTATCCTTAAGTAGTCAGTGTGTCTATATAAATACGTACATGTACTCTGTAGTATAGTATATGCCTGTGTGTCTGTATATCTGTATATACACTGAATGTTACACGTATGTTAAAAAAATAGTCTGGCTTTTTTTTTTCCTATTCAGATAAGTCTCACCCTCTATTGTAAAACAAAGGGAGCAGACACTGTTTTCTTTCACGTGGCTGAATTTGCCCAACAAATGAGGTTGGATCTGACTACCTGCCTTGTACTATTGCCTTTAGAAAGAATATAAATACTCCATCCATTTCAGGGAGAGGACATCAGTTTTCCACTGCTTTTTTCTGCTGATAAGGTATTTGGATGGCTACTTAGCATGAGTAGTTACTGATCTAGATCTCTAGGGCTTCAAAATCTGTCATCCTTTTTCCTTTTATTCCAAAGTAAAAAAGATAGTGTAGGCATTGAAATTAAAAATTCATTAAAGAAAGTTTTTCATCTTGCTAATATTTCAGGTCTAAGAAATTCTCTCCTGTGTTACTTGAATTGGATTATATTTTCATTGCTCGTATTTGCAATCACAATCAGTAAGAAATGTTTTTTTCCCTGCTTCTTTAATGTAAGTATCCCCAGCTGGTGGCCCCTCTCCTCCTTATGCCACGTCACTAAGTGCAGAGGCCTGGCAGAACTTGATGGTGACAACAGAGGCGGCAGTGGGACCTGCTGTGATCTGTGTCTGCTGTCACTGTATCACCCTCCCCGTTCAGCAGTGGGCCCACATTTTTTTCCTGTGAGTCTTTTACAACCAATATAGATAGCAGTAGGAGCTCTTCTTTGTGCCCTTGACATCCCTCGCAAGTCTCAGATGCTCTATCTGAGCATCATTGGCAGTAATTGTCATCCCTACGTGCCCAGGCGTTGTTTCTCAATTCCTGCTTTGTAGCCTGTCTGTCCTCCCCCATCCTGTACACTGCCTTTTCACAATCGAGCTGCGCTGTGGCTTCCTCACTTAGCTGAACTGGTCTCCTGATACATCTCCTCGGCTGACAACATCATCTCCTCAGCCGACAAAGAGCTCCCTCCCCAGGGAAAGGTGGTAGTGGGTACGGCAGCGGTGGACCACTGCAGGAGCGTCAGTTCTTGTCTGTCACACCTTCCAGCTGCTCTGATGCAGAGACGCGTGATCGACCTGGTTAGAGGATGGAGCTGAGTGGTTTGTGGCGATCTGTCGTGGGCTAGTGCTTCCAGTAGCAACTCCAGATTGTCTGCTTTGGGACAGGTACAGGTGGATAGCATTCTCCAGCTCCTGGCTACCCAGCTTCTTAGGTCACACTGAAGGTGTCAGGGTCTGAATGCTCTGCTTGCATACCATTTCCAACTTTATGCACCTTAGGTAAAGCAAGGAATGTAACATTAGTGTTCCTAAAGATGCAGTATTCCTGAGTTTGTTGTACATACAGTGCACATGATTGAAAATTTGACTAGCTTTCCAATTCCACAGTATCGCTGAGGCTTATTACAGCTATCCTGTGCTCGCCAGCGGGCACTATCATAGTTACTGGGGTGGGTGGCGGGGAGACAGGAGGCATGCTGCAGGCAAACGGTACTAAAAATAGATAACCTCACTTGCCTGAATACCTTTGCTAAAAATCTTTGCTTTGAAGCCTGGTTCACTTCAGAGTGCTTGAATCTGTAAAGCCAGTGTGCCTGTATTTCATAGAATGGTAAATACTGAGAGTATTGGAAAGTAGTTTCAATAGCTGTGATTTATTTTTAGTAGTCATGTTGTTAGCTACTCTGATCATTGTATAAAATTATGAAGTGTTAAAGAATAGAGCAGATTCTCCAATTTCCAAATAAAATTAGGCTTATAAGTATCAACAGAAACTGTTCTGCTCATGAGTGAGCCGAAGAATTAAAAGCTTTATGGCACATAAGCAAGTACTAAGTAATATCAAACTCAGTAAAGACATTAAAGACAGTTTGAGATGCACTTGGGGATTTTTTTTTTTTTAAAGGTGCAGAAAATTAAGCTCCATGTGAAATTTAGCTTAAAAACACCTTTTCTGCAGAAA